TACACTGGGATAAAGATCCTACCAGTTCCAAAGTCACTTGGAAATCTCAGTGTCAGAGGACAATACATCTTTCCTCTCAGGGGCTTCCTGCCTCTCCTTGAGCGTGCTTCATTCCCCACTCTTTAAAAAGTGTTGGGGAGGGCTGGGGATTTAGCTCAGTGGTTTCGCCGCCTGCTGCACGAGCGCAAGGACCCGAGTTTGATCCCTGGTACCAAAAAGAAAAAAAAGTGTTGGGGAAATGCTCCCCAAAAGACAGGGATACATGATTTATCTATCATAATAGGAATGCTTTCTTTTAAAATAAAAAAAATTAAAAGTATCCCTGGCACCAAAAAAAAAAGTATCTTCTGAATGAGATGAAACAAAACAGAGTTGTAACTTCTCATTCACTAATATTCAAAACACCTATTACCTTCTTCCTAAGTATCTGCTTAGTTGATGTTTTGTTGTAATTCAAAATTCCCTCTCCAACTTCTGCTTGAGACTCTGGAAGGAAGGAAAATTTAGAGATTCTAGGTGATCTACTTAGCTGTTGGGTAAACTGAGAGCCACTTAGTCCTCAGCTTCATGGGCTGCTGCATAGACCTGGCCTCAGAAGAATAAGAAGGAAAATTAAGGCCTTGTTTCCCAGATGTATTTCAGTAGAGGCTGTACACTCTAGAAATGAGCTTGAGCTGTGCAATCAGAATGGTCTGATTTGAAGAATCAGCTCCGATGCTTCTGAGCCTCAGCTTTCATGTGGGCAGAAATAGGGAAAATAATAGCACCTGCATTAACAACATCATTATGAGGATTAAATAAAATGTAGGCAATGTGTTGAGATTTGTGGGTAGTGCTTCCAAGGAGTTATTATCCCCACTATTTCCTTCCTGTACACCCCTTGGAACTGATACACACTAACTGAGCTCTGAACCCCTGCAAGGAGGCAGGGGAGATTTCAAAATTCCATTGGGTCAGCTCCTCTAGTCCCACCTCTGGTATGACCTCTCCTAAAACTGAGACCTTATTTTTAGGAGAGGTGATGTATTCCAGTTTTCCTTACCACATTCTTCAGGAAAAAAGAGAAGGAAGGAGGGAGAGAGAGAGAAAGGCTAAATTTTTCCTTGTAATTTTCCATCCTGATTGTTTTTAGGTGCTGCCATATGAAATCTCTGAACTGGGGATTCTCATCAGTCTTCCCAGGACCCAAGGACACAGCTCTGGCTATAAATGGTGCCAGTTTTGGTGGGGGAGCTGCTGCTGCTTTATCTGGGCCCAATAAACCTTATCAAACTGCTGTGCAGCCAGCCTTCAGCGCTAAGTGGAAATGCTCAGAGCCCAACGCTGGCACTCAGCCCACAGCCTCGCCTACCTTCTCCCTTTTTGTTACCTTCTCCACCTCTTAAATTCAGGCATTAATCTCTCTTTAACACTTACTAACAAGGACTAGGCTTTTTAATGGGCAGAGTTTATGAAGCAAGGGAGATTTTCACATAGAGTGAATATGGTGGGGGGCGGGGCAGGGCAGTGGAAGGATAGTTCTTTCTCTACTATTGTTTCCAGAGATTCTCTCTTTCTCTGATTTGAGGATTAATCGGAGAATAGGATCAAGGGTTAATTGTTTGCTTCTCTTATTACTGTGCTGGGGAGAGACTGGTATGTGGATGTGTACAGCTACACAGCAGCCGCCAGCAAGCAGATGCTCAACAAATTTAAAGATTTTGTTCCTCTATTTCACTGGTGAGGCATGGTGAAAGTCTTCCACTCTGGGTCTCCTTACAGACCAGTTGTTCTTTCTTAACTTTCTTTAAATCCTTTTCCTCTTATAGTGTATATAGACCTGGGCTAGAAAAAAAGAAGTAAACTAAATAGGGACTGCTCTTTATTGGTTACCAAATGTGAACCAGAGGAAGTGGAAGTGCCCAGTGCGTTTGACATTGTATACACTGCTATCAGAGGATAACTTGATTCCCTCCCTGGCTTCTCTGGGCTGACTCCTGCTGGTCTGAGCACTTCGCCTGCGGGAGGGAGACTGGCGTGTCCCTTGATGGGATGGAATGGCCTGTCCTTGGGTCTACCTCATCAACAGCTCTTGTGAGCCTGGATCGGTTCCCAAATATATGTAAACTCTGCCACCTGGCCTTCCGCACATTGTGCCTCTATTGGGCCTCTACCCGCTATAGCTCTTGGGGGTTAACTTTCAGTCTGAGGTAAGGCCAAGAGGCGCGCCTCAAGATGTGATTCTATGTGAGTCCTGCAGGAAACCTTCGGCTCACGGGCCAGTCAAGAATAGAGCGTGTTCTCAGGACTCCGCGAGCGAAACCCGAATTGCTTAAACAGCTTGACCTCGGGGATGACTGTTCTCAGACCCCTGGATGGCGCTGTCCGCCACATCCCCACCCGGTCACTCCGCTCTGGGACTTTAGTCAAAGGCCACGGCCAATGCTCGGACTACTGGCAGTGCTTTTCACCTCTAGTCCCTTACCTGCGCCCAGCTGCAGGGAAAAGGGGAGAAGGGAGCTTTCCGCAACCGAGGAAGGGCACATTTTCTTTGGTGGATCTATCCTGGCCTTGGCGATCTCAACCCCACCCTCTAGAGGGGGCGGGCGGCTGAGAGGAGGAGGCATTTTTGAGCGGCCGGCCCAGAGCCTTTCCACGCTTCCACGCGACCCCCGAAGATTGCGCTGAGCGGGGCGCGGCTGCTCTGCGACTTCTACCACCCGCGTTACTTGGAGGTGCTGAGCGGAAGGGACGCCCAAAACCCGGAGTGAGGAAAGTTTCTCTCAGGCCTTGACGACGTTCTGTAGCGATCCCAACAGCTAAAATAGGGTATCTGCGCTCGACCAGGGTCTCCCCGGACCTCCTGCCATCCGATTCACTGAAGCCCGAAAACGCTGTGCCTGGAGACTTCTCGAAATCAGGATGCTCATGCCCGAAGGGAGGCAGCTGGAAAGCCTGAGGCCTGGGCTTGGGTTGGGAAAATGACCTTTTAAAGCCAATGTCGAGGGTACTAGGGATGAAGCCCCGAGCCCCGAGGAAAAGCGAAAAGCTAGATGACATTCACTGAATTGGGCCGAACACTGCAACGAGGGGGCAAAACTCCGTGCTTAAGCACCAGAGGGGGTAAACAAAAGCCGTGGAAATTAGAAACTTGAGGCAAGGCGGGAACAGCTCCTCGGCTCTCATGCACCATTGAGGGCTCCGAGTCCCTTGCACTCCTTTCCACCAGCTCCTTCTGTCCTCTCCACTTAGCCGGTGAGCGGAGGCCGCTGGAGCCAGCAGCAGCTAGATGTCAGGCGAAGCCCGGAGCGCCGAACGCTGGAGGGAGGGAGGGGAGGGGAAGGGAGGGGGTGGGGCCGGGAGGGTGGGGCGAGGAGCGCGCACAGGCTCGGTCAGTGAGGTGGGGGGGCTGAGCTCAGGGACAGCGCTGGAGGGGGGAGGAAAGGGGGGCAGCTGTGGGCAGGGAGCCGGGCTCGACCGCCAGCACTAAAGATGGAGAGGCGCCGGGGCCTCGCAGGGGAGGGGGCTTGGCGTTGACGTGGGACGCGGCGGAGGCGCCGCAGCCTGTGGTGATTTGCTAACCTCTCAGCAGAGAGGAGTTGAGGGCGATGAGAGCGGGTACTGCGAACTGCCGGGCGATGCTGCCGCTGCCGCCGTGATACCGAGAGCAACAGTTCCCCAGCAACACCCCTCCCCGACTCGGGCACACCCCCCAGTAGGCACGCACACCCACCCTGCAGCGCCCGGCTCGGCCGCGGTGAGTGGGGGGCCGGGGAGGGGCGCACCACCCAGAGAGCGCCTCGCGCCGGGGCGCCCTGGGCTGGAGAGGTCTGGGGGGCGCGCTCGCTCTGGTCACTCGGCCGCGGGGCTTGTGCGTGTTTCCTTCCCGCTGTTGTGGCCGCCGCGGCCGCCACCGCCGCCCGCTGGGGTCAGCTAGAAGGGGAACCCGGCTGTCAGCTTGGGCGCAGCTGCCTCCCAACCCTTCCTCTCTCGGGCACAGTCCGGGAAAGAGGTGGGAGGCAGCGCGGTCTGCCGAGGCCGAGGGCGCGAGCCGAGGGTCGGGGCGGGGAGGCTTTGTACAGACAGAGGCCGGTGGAGGAGCTGAGCACGGTGGGTGCTCATATGTATGCGGACCGGTGCGCGCGCGTAGAGATAGGATTGTGGTTTCTTATTTGTGTGTTTATTTGCTGGCCGGCTGGGAAGCTAGAATGCGAGGAACTGGCGAGTGGTTCTAGGGGCGGAGGGGAGCAGGACTGGAACTCGCTTGGGTTTTGTTTCTCTTTGAAGAAACGTGACGGGCTCTTTTTCTTGATTGGACTCGATCCCCCTTTTGGAGGTGGTAGGAAAGCTCCGGAGAGTCTTCAGCGCCCCAGGCCCTCCTCGGCTCTCCGTGGGACCGGCCGTGGCGCCGGAGGTCGCCGTGCGCTCTCGGCCGCGCGCGATGGGTCCCCGGCCTCTGCACCTGATGCGTTCGGGATGCCTTTCCTACCCTGGCGCGCCGGCAGCTCGCTCGCACGGCGCCTGGCACACTCTCGCACGCGCTTGAAATGAGCACGATCGTGTTTGCTCGCGGACCGCTGAAATACAGTCGCGCTCCGCGCCGACTCGCTCGCCGCCCCTCCGGGACGCTCGCAACGTGCAAAGGATCGGCGGGCGGGCAACTGGCGCCACGGGCCAGAGGCCAGGAACCCTGCCGGTTGCTTCCCGGGGGTCAAGGCCCTGGGTCGGAGAGGGAGGGCCCTCAGACTTCTCGTCTTTCGTACTAAAACTCGTTGCAGGGCTTTTGTGCTTTTCCTTTTCCGCGGGCCGGGTCCGACGCTTCGCCGCTCTCCCTGGGGCGTCCAGCCTGCTGGACTCTCGCCTTTTGACCGGTTCCTTTCGCTTTTCCTCTTTGCTAGCTTGGCTCCTTTCTTTCAGGCGTTTGGCTCCCTGGGAAAAGTTGCTTCCTCAAGTTTGCCGAAGTCGTCTCCAAGTCTCGGTGGGGGTCTCTGGGAACTAGGGGCGTGTGAGCGCTAGATCGATCCCCGAAGCTCTGGCGGGTTAGCGCCGGCTTCTCCAGGGTCTCGGGGCAGAACGCTGCGACAAGCGCCCGCCAGATCTCGGGCATCAGCAGCTCGTGGCTGGGACGGCTGCTAGGACACTCTGATTCCACTCAGGACCCAAAAGGCTTGTTCTGGGTCAGGAATTTGAGTAGTCAACGTTCTGTTGTTTTGGCTTTCCTTTTTTAGTTCTCTAAATTCTGGTGTCTGTAGGAGAGCTCCTGGTGAGGCGCAGGATGAATGTTCAGCTCACCCTTGACCGCAGTGGTCCCGAGTGGGCAGCAGAAGTGTCTGGACCAGCCATTCTGTTAACCCTTTCTGCGGGAGCTTTGTGGCTCAGAAGCCAATAGGGCTCCTTTTGAGGTGGAGACACGTAGAGTGAAGAGTGAGGAAGAGCCCGTGCTTCATCCACCCAGGCCAGTGGTAGTGGCCCCAGCAAGGCAGAGGCTTGGAGGGACCTGTGGCCATGTAGTTTGTCAGCTCTGAAGAGGGTTCAGCGTCCCAGTGCCCTCTTACTCATTCAGAGCAGGCTCTGGGAGAGGGCTTTGTCTTCTAGCCCTGTCTTCCTTTCATACTGGTTCTAATTCACACCATGGATGCTGGTGCCAGTATCACTTCCAGGGCCTCTGAGCTATATCCAGCATCAATTGTTGCTTCTGGTCATAGGACTTGCCAACTCCTGGGAGCCTGTGGGATACACTGGAGTTCACATCCAGCCCAGCAGGAGCATTCCTGGCCATAGGGAAACACATTTCCTGTTATCTCTCTCCCTGCCATGGTGACCTAGCTGCCTTCACATTTTAGAGGTCCTTCTGTCCACTGGGCTCTTGTGGGCAGGAAGGGTAAGTGAAGCATCTCATATAAGTATATACAGGTGTGTAACACACTCTGTGGCTGGTGGATACACACACAATTCAGATTTTACATTATATATGCAATGACTTTGGGTAGGAGTGGCCCAAATTAGATATGGGTTATGTGCATGTGTTGCTATATCTTCTTAGGAGGAAGGGGAGCAGGGTATGGATCTGTCACTGCTTTTGTAGCTCTGATTAGAATGGAAGTTCAGGGCCCAGGAAGGAAGGTGTTTCAAAAGTTGCCTATAAGTTTCTGTGGCCATGACTACAGACTGCTAGTGGCAGCTGGATTTGACGTGGCTCCTGGGGCTGCAGTAGTGAAGCAGAGTCAGAAAAACTCTGTTTTGAAGATGAGGTTTGCTGTGCAGGGATTCAGAGGGAAGTTGAAGGCTTAAGTTGACTGAAGGAAGTAAGTGCTTGGACACCTCTTTGTAAGGAATGTGAGCCTTGTGAAGAAACTCCCTATTGTTAGACTGAGAGCCAGGGATGTAGCTCAGTGGCAACTTGCCTCACAAGCTCAAGGTCCTGAGTTTGATCCCCAGTACCAAAAAAAAAGAAAAAAAAAGATTAGTAAGTTTAGAACTTAATAATTTTCATTTCACTTATTCCATCAGATGCTAGAGAGAAGCAAATTAAGCATATGTTGATAGCAGAACCTTCTCTTACTCTTATCATTTCTGCATTCATAAAGGCAGATTTGTAGATTTCTAGGAAGCCCCTTCTGTTACAGTTTTTAAGACCCTCTTGCTGGGAGCTTGGTAGGGTAGGAACATGTTATAGTGTTTGAATTCTTACTTTTAGACACAGTAATGAACCTGTCATTTGTTTTCTCATCTTTTGTGCTTCTTTTCCTTTTCTCCTCTCCAGGCCTCTCCATTGGCCCAGGAAGCCCACCCTGCCCTACCACGCAGAGTACAGAAAGAAAGAGAGCCCCATGCCTGAGCCGAGGGGAGCACCATGGATCTGACAAAGATGGGTATGATCCAGCTGCAGAACCCCAGCCACCCTACGGGGTTGCTGTGCAAGGCCAACCAGATGCGACTGGCTGGGACTTTGTGTGATGTGGTCATTATGGTAGATAGCCAGGAATTTCACGCCCACCGGACAGTGCTGGCCTGCACCAGCAAGATGTTTGAGATCCTCTTTCACCGTAACAGCCAGCACTATACCCTGGACTTCCTCTCGCCAAAGACTTTCCAGCAGATTCTGGAGTATGCATACACGGCCACGCTGCAAGCCAAGGCGGAGGACCTGGATGACCTGCTTTATGCAGCCGAGATCCTAGAGATTGAGTACCTGGAGGAGCAGTGCCTGAAGATCCTAGAGACCATCCAGGCCTCAGATGACAATGACACAGAGGCCACCATGGCTGATGGTGGGGCTGAGGAAGAAGAGGACCGCAAGGCTCGGTACCTCAAGAACATCTTCCTCTCAAAGCATTCCAGCGAGGAGAGTGGGTATGCCAGTGTGGCTGGACAGAGCCTTCCTGGGCCCATGGTAGACCAGAGCCCTTCAGTTTCCACCTCATTTGGTCTCTCAGCCATGAGTCCCACCAAGGCTGCAGTGGACAGCTTGATGACCATAGGACAGTCTCTCCTGCAGGGAACTCTTCAGCCGCCTGCAGGCCTGGAGGAGCCAACACTGGCTGGAGGTGGACGGCACCCTGGGGTGGTTGAGGTAAAGACGGAGATGATGCAGGTGGATGAGGTACCTGGCCAGGACAGCCCTGGGGCAGCTGAGTCCAGCATCTCAGGGGGGATGGGGGACAAGGTGGAAGAAAGGGGCAAAGAGGGGCCCGGGACACCGACTCGAAGCAGCGTCATCACCAGTGCTAGGGAGCTGCACTATGGGCGAGAGGAGAGTGCCGAACAGCTGCCACCCCTAGCTGAGGCTGGCCAGGGTCCCCCTGGCCGCTCAGAACCCTCAGTTCCTCCAGCAGAGAAACATCTGGGCATCTACTCTGTGTTGCCCAACCACAAGGCTGATGCTGTGTTGAGCATGCCATCTTCAGTGACTTCTGGCCTGCACGTGCAGCCTGCCTTGGCTGTCTCCATGGACTTCAGCACCTATGGGGGCCTGCTGCCCCAGGGCTTTATCCAGAGGGAGCTGTTCAGCAAGCTGGGTGAGCTGGCCGTGGGCATGAAGTCAGAGAGCCGGCCCCTTGGGGAGCAGTGCAGTGTATGCGGGGTGGAGCTGCCCGACAATGAGGCTGTGGAGCAACACAGGTAGGTCCCACCTGGACCCATACCCATGGTTGGACTTCTGGCCCTGACATTCCTCTTTCATATCCTAGGTGCTCTCAAATCTGGTGACCTGGCTCCCTTATGTTTCTTGGATAAAACCCAAACTTTTTCTGCTGTCTTTGGGGGTACATTTTTCAAAGAGTGATGAGAGGACATGGGGTATTTTCAAAGCATTGGGAGCTCATGGACCCAGCCTCTGACCAGGTCCTTCCCTGACTTTTGGGCTCCTCTTTGGTTTTTCTGCTGTTTTGCCCATGCTTCTTTGCTTGGAATGACTGATACAGTGGAGTGGAGGAGAAAAGGAAGTGGGATTCAGGGTGAAGGTCTTCTGTGGTTGGGACATGGCCATGTTACCAGGCTTCAGGTTCCTGTAAAGGCAGCTGCTAATGACTACAGCCTAGGCAGACGGCACAGGCTGGGTGCCGTGTAGGCCGCAGAAATGCTACACATCTCAAACATCAAATCCTTACCTTGGTGCTCCTTCCCCTTCTCATTCTGTTTCTGCAAACACATTTAGGAGCAGTTGATTTGATTTCAATCCAAGGGGGAAGGGTGGGGATAAGCTTTGGATCATATAAGCTGTAAAGTCTCACTTTTATCCCATTTCTGCTTACATTGAATTAAATGCCACTTCAGTCTAGCACTGGCTTCCCTGTGGCTTCTTTTCCCTCTCTGTGAGGTAACCTTTCTTTGAGCTCTGATGACATGCTTGGTTCAGTACCAAGTGCTTTACCTACAGTTGCATTTTTGTTACAACAGCCCTGTGAAGTCGGAGATGTTCTTTGATGTAGGCAGATGCTAAGACTCAGTCATAGGGTCTGTTTTCCTGGGTCACATAGATAGTAAGAGGCAGAGCTACATTCAGATCCAGACTTAACTCCCTCCTACTTTGTGGGTCTTGGAGTCATTCAGTGTGGAACAGGATCATGTCTGCAGAGCAGGAGGTGTTGACGATGGCTCATAAGAAGCAGAGTCAGTGACAGAGGGACTCAAGTAGTGGATTTGTTTTTTCCTGCTTCATCATAAACTATAGGGCCATTGTTATTTTGCCCTTTTGGCCCTGGGCCTGATGAATGGTGTCCAAAACCCAGTCATTGATGATCACATTTCCCGTCACGCCCTGGGGCTTGCTATTTTGCTCATCTTGAGTAGATTCTCCACATTGGCACCTACTCTTCCTCACCCCCATTCCTCTGTTGCTCATTTAGATATGGGGGATATGAGTGGGTAGAGTAGGATGACGGCATCTGGAAGCTGATCTAATCACCCCCATCTACAACCTGCTCGATACTCTTGATGGGCAGCTCTCAGACTTACTTTGTGGAAAGTGCCTCCAAGCTAAAAGTAGCCGATTTTTTTTCCGGTGGGTACAAAAAACAACCACCACTAAGGTGTGTCTTCTTGATGATTGTACCTTTCAGAAATAGACTGAGGTTGTTTTTGGTGTTTTGTTCAAACTTTCCCAAAGAGAAAAATCCCCTCCTCAAACTTGCCCGGATAGGTTTATCAGCTTCTCCCAATATGAATTTTTTCAGCTATGTGCCATGAGATACAAAGTATGGGGGAAAGTAATTTTTTTCCTGACTCCCTTTAGGTCCTGATTACTTTTCTTTACCAGACAGGGCCACAAAAGTGGTCACTCTCCCGGGAGCTCCAGGTTTCTATTTGGTGGGACCCTCATTCCTCTGGAGAAATGGAGGGTTGACCATATTTTATTCCAAAGATGGTGGGTGGGTTAATTAGCCACATCTAGTGGTGAAAGTTTGGGATAGTTATTTAAGCTTTCTGAACTTTGTTTTACTCATGTTTTAAAATGGATGTGGTCCTCAGGGTTGGTGCTGAATTAATGAAGTAAAATCAAGACATCACTAGAGCTGCCAGTGGTACCTCATCACCCATAAAGTGGGGACTGATCTTTCTGTCCCCATCTTGTTTTGGCTTTGCTCTGCATCATCCTTGCAAGCTCTCAGTTCGAGTGTGCAGTGTTCCCACTGCTAACTTCTATGGGGCTGTGTTGCCTGGGAAGTGGTGGAGGATGTCCCTGTCCTTATGAGCTTATAATGGTGAATAACTGGTCCAGGGATCCTCAGTGTCATGCTGCGGGCTGCTGCCAAGGAGAATGTGCTTTTGACCAAGTGCAGAAAAGTCAGCTGCAGCCTGAGAAGCTAGATCTGGGGGCAAAGTCTTGGTGGCGAGGTGTGGGGGTCTGAGAAAATCAAGGGGGGAAGATGATCTTCCTGTGTGTGCTCAGCCCTGACTCTGAACGGTGGCCCTTAGCTCCAGGATAGATGCGATTTGTGAGAGTCATTTTCCTCTCATATCCTCAAAGCTCCAGGATTAATGTGCTATCTTTCTGTTTCCTCTTCTTCTCTATCTCTCCCACCCCTCATCCTATCAACAGTCTGAGAAATGTTCTGGTAGAAGAAAAATCATCACCATGATCAGTACAAACAACAGAGCAAGACACAAAAATCAGTGGGAGATTTTCGATACCAAAAAGCTGTGGAAATGGCTGCAAATATAACAACGATGACCATGATAAAATGATGGGCTCAAGGTTTATTATATTTTAGGGCAATAGACTAGAGTGTTGGTAAAGACATAGTGCCGAGCAGCTATTCTTGCTTTAGAGGGGAAGAAAAGGCAGATTGGTGGGAAGTGAGGCAGGAAGAGAGTTTGTTATGGAATCCTATCTGTAAGTTTCCCCATGACTCAATCCCAAGCTGGTGTGAAGTAAGGGGGAAGGGGCACCTATTGGCTGGACAGATAGTTGGACTAGAACTTCGTGAAATTGTGTATATCATAGTCTTGTCGTGGGTGGCAAGATGTAAAAACAATACCAAATGCAGTTATGGATGAGTGGGAAGAGCAGACAAAGACCACTTGGCTAAATCAGATGGACATCCCTTAACTAATGGAACTGGAAGGAAAGCAGGCAGACAGTGAGAAGATCTGATGCATCAGCAGGATTCTCCAGGCAGGTGAAGGAGAAAGCTCTTTACCACCGAATCTCCCCAGTGGGCTCACATTACAGAGCATAGTGTCTGAGAGAGAGAGGGTCATATCAGGCTTCTGCAAGACAGGACTCTCCCTCTAAGCTTAGTCTCTTCTTTCTCTGAAAGGCTGGAGAAGTTCTGCATGTGGGCTTATCTGGATATGGGCTGGGAACCAGCTCAACTGGGCCAGATGCACCTTATCATTCTCAGTGTTGTGCCCATAAATGATAAGATCACAGGTAACAGCATAGTTGACTAAGTGTGAACATAGTCATCATTTATAGCCCTCAGTTTTTCCAGTTTCCCCAGTTTCTGGTTTTAATGTATTTTGGGATTTAGCTGTGCATCATCAGACTGGGGTCTGGATCCTACACGGGAACCTCTGGATCTTATAAGGACAAGCCCTCAGATCAACTGCAGTGCATATCTTGCCCAGACCGAGTTAGAACTCTTGCTTGGTTCTAGCAGGGCTGCTCAGGAACAACAGGGAATCATCTTAGCCAGCTCCCTGGACCTACCTTGGAGCCTTCCTCAAAGGCATCTTGGGGCTGACTGGAGGATGCAAGATCCACATGGCTGAGATGTCAGAGTCCTGCCTGACTCTTTGGCTTGGTCTCAGATGGCTAGCTGCTCTGATTTCAGTGGTGGACTGTGTAAGGGCCAACAGCCATTGACCTTGGTTTAGCCCACTTTTCAGAGGTTAGAGGTTTCCTGAAACTCCTGGTTCCCTTTAATCTTTCTGCCAGGCCCCTCTGATGTTCAAGTTATGTTTGGAACAAGGTATGCTGTGGAATAATGATAGCAACAGCAACAATAGTAATAATGCCCATTATCAATTGTGGCTCTTTCTTCTTCACAAAGCCTCTTTAATGAATTTACCTTTCCTAACCTTACAACCTTCCCTAAGTGGGCCATAATCCCAGTTCTGTGATTATGAAATACAAAAAGCTCTGAAAGCTAGCAGGCTTCGTATAAGTTTGCAGCAAACTCAGTTAGTGGCAAAAACAGATCTGAACTGATGTAAGGCTATATTTATCCTGCTTATTTTGAATATTCATATGTTTTGCTGCAAAAATATTAATGTGTTTGATTATAGAGTGCTGCCCTAGACTCCACTGGAGCTGTTAAACACATAGACACCAGAATGCCTTTCTAAAATCAAAACAGTTTCGATTTCTGAAGCATCCAATGTTTTTGGACAAGGGATTGTGGTCCATTTTTGGTCCCAGTTTACAAACAAGATTTGGAGCAGGTAGGTGACTTCCCCATGGTCACACAGCTAGCTATAAATGGGTAGAGCCAGGTACCCTGCCTGCCTTCTTGTTCACAGTCCTGGGTGCTCTGCAGCAGGCCATATAAGAACATGACCAGTGCCGTTCTAGGTAAGATCCATCTGGCCTAGTCTTTGGTTGCCAACACCATCCTTGAGCTGCCACTATTAGTGGCTATAGCTATCATCCTTGACGTCAATTCTAAAGGTCAGGTGTGTACAAGCTTCTCTTAGTAGCTATTTATGGCTACTTTGTCATTCACAGATTTGCCCAAATCCTTCTTGAATCCATTTCTGTTTCCAGGAAGTATTCGTTTGGGGATGATGAATGATTTCACTTTAGAACCTCTTGGGCTCCTGGAAATCTGGTCTCAGAGACGTCTTTGGTTGTGAAGTTAGTAAGATGGCCAGTGGCTTTGCAGTGGCATGCCCTGTTCTTGAGGAGGCCTGGGCTCTAGACTCAGCTCTGCATTTTTTAGCTGCGTTACCACTGTCAGTCCCTTTATCACCCCGAGCTTTATTTTCTTCATTTGTAAAAGAGGGCACTTAGATGAGGTCTTTCTGGATTACTGAACTCTAAAAATTTCTTTACCCTTTGTGCACCCACTTACATTTTCATGAAGTTATTTTGGCCAATTGCATTTTGCTGGGTTTTGGAGTCTGGATTAACAGGTCAGCTGGTCAGGATGGGATTGGGATTGGTTTGATTTGATTCT